TATTATCGTTTGTGCCCAGCTGACATGTTGCTGATGCGCTGTTTTTTATTTTTCTTTTCCATTTCCTGTTGCCGCTCGGAATCGTGTACTGCAAAAGTGAACTCATTCTCACTCAACTGCGTTTGTCGTGCAAAAATTGAATGTGGCTGCGCTGTGAATTTTGACCTTTGCGAACGTGCTTGTGTGGTGTCATTTGATTGGCTGATCGCGTCGGCTCGTCGCCTCGTACTAATAACTGCGTGATGATGAATGCCACCACGCCGTGCCTCGTCTGTGACATCGCATCGCCTCATTTCGTCTTGCATCGTCTCATTTCGCCTCAACGTGCCGTGTGTTTCGCCTCGCCTGTACGTACTGCTGTCCCCGCGTACCCGTCTGTCCGTCCGTCCACTGGACTCGTTCCTCCGTTTTCGACCGACGGTCGCTCGGCTCGGTGTTGCGGTACAACGCGTCGCATCGCGTCGCGTCGCGTACACCTGTCACTTGGCCATGGCTGTGATTCGATGGTCGTGTAGTATAATCCTGTCGTCGCATCTTCCGGTGCTGACCAGCGCGCAGCGGCAGCTGCATACTTTCTTGGCAAGAAGAGACCGCTCGAAGTAGACCTGCCCTCGACCGCAGATCCTCTGCTCTTAGCAACCGCGGTATCGTTCTCTGTGTTTTTGTATTTTCTTCTTATTTTATTAATCGAATTATTTGTTTATACAATTGCATGGTGTCGCCTTGCGTCGCGCCACATTGCCATAAGCACCGTTCATCGTGCGTCATTTCACGGTTGCACAGCGCAGTAACGGTGACGGTGAACTGCTAATCGTTGTCACTTGTATCTTCTTCCTTTCTGGTGTACACCTCGGTTCGTCTCTTATCCGTAACCGTATCTATATTCCTGCCGCTGCTTTGTACCGCCTGTTAGTCACGTTCTCAGATCTTGCTTAACTCAGTATCCGAACTGCATCAATCATGTCAGTACCGACTACTGTTTCGTACTAACTTCTTATAAGGCAACTTGTGAGAGGTGCATACATTCTGTTACCAAGGCCAAAGCCATCCTATGAGCATTAGCTTCGCACTCGTTAGGTATTGGTTCAGTTTTTCAGTTCATGTGTTATTTGTCTTTCTTTTATGAATACCACAGGCAATGCAGTCCTCTTTTTGACGTGTGATCAAACAAATATTGGGTCCCGTCGATCGTTTCGTTCACTAATGTGTTACACTGTTCAGGTCAGTCGAAGCGACGCCAGTCGCGACGAAGAGCGTTGTAATTTGCCGCGTAGCGATTAACGCTCATTACTGAGATGTTTGCAGAATTATGGAAAGTTATCTAGCAAATATGCCTCTTAGAGCCATGTAACAGTAACAGTTATAATGTATTATTGTTGTTTCTGTTGGTAGTCTGCGGTAATCAGCTTACTGTGAAATGTATTAGAAAATGTTATCATGTGCTACGCTACTGTCAGCGCAAAAGATATCCTCGCCGTAAAAGTAAAACGATAGATTTTACTTTGAAATCAAGTATAGCTGACTTACGGCAATGCCGTAGGGAGCGATTCATGCAAGGCACTGCGCTGGTCGCGTCGCTGCTTCTTGAAGCTTAAAGGACCATTTGAGCAGACTAGATATCTATGGTATTT